GGGAGGGGGGGGGGGGCGAGCCGGGTCTCCACCTAACAGGAGACGAAGTGGGCCTTTGCCATACAAAGCGTGGGAAACGAGGTCGAGCTCGAGCGGGCCGTCGACCGCGCTGACGACGAGCCCGTTGTCGAGCATCAGCGGAGAGCGCAAGATCTGCAGTGGAGGGAGGGTGGGTAGGTAGGGAAGCCCCTCTCTCTCTCGCTCTCTCCACACACGACGGTGGCGGGGCGAGGGCGAGGCAGCCCTCGCATCTCCACGTCCCAGAGGCCAAATGGCAGCTGCCCGACGGCACGTTCGGACAAAGCCCCGTGCACGTGGGTGGGCTGACAGAGCCCCGTGCAGTGGGTGCGCTGCTGCCTCCGGCCACCGTGTGTGGTGGTGGTGGGGGGGGGGCGAAACACTCGTCTCGTCACACACCAACCTGCAGCGGAGGATCGACGAGCAGCGCCGCATAGAGGGAGGGCAAGTCCGGCGCCATGCCCATCTCGGCGCCGCTCGCACGCGGCCGCGCGCAGAGCGTCGCGCGGGCGGTAGTGTGCCGGCCTACAGTCGGGTCAGAGTCAGGGGCGGGGGCAGGGGCAGGGGCAGGGGCAGGGGCAGGGCCAGGGGCAAACCCACGGTCAGGGCCAGGGTCGGGGTCAGGGTTGCGGCTAGAGCGGCGTGCTGGCCGCCTGCCGCGGCGACGCAAGCGGCCGCGCGCCAGCCCCCTCGCAAACGGAATGTGTCTGCTGCCGCCCCTGCCTCCGGCGCCACCGCCTCCGGCGCCACGCTGCACGCCGCGGCGTGCTCGGCGGCGCCGCTCCCCGCCACGTGCCCCGTCGTCCAGCAGGACTGAAAGTTGTGGCCGCCGGTGACGCCGTCGACGTCGAGCACTTCGCCCGCGAAAAAGAGCCTGCGGTGTATGAGTACGGGACCCTGAGGGCGGGAAGACGGTCTCGCGCCGCGCACTCGGAGCGCCGCGTGAAGACGAGGGACACGGCGAATACAGCCGAATCCGGCGGATTGCAGCGGGGTGCGTGCGCTTCTAGGACAACGAGCCCCGGGACGAGCCTCGACTGCATCTGCGTCGCGTCGACGTCTCTCCAGTCCACGCCTCCGCAAGTGACGAACTCGTCCTTGTTCGAGTCCTTGCCAGAGAAGGGCAGCGGTGTCGCCGTGAGTCGCGAGGACAGCGCCTCGACCTCAGCACGGCGCAGCTCTCCCCACCGCTTGGCGCCCGTCGCCTCCGCCTCGTCGCCTCCGCCGCACGCCACCGCCTCCCACAGCCTCCCAGGCAGCCCGAATGGATTGGCGTTGCGCACCAGCTTCCGCCGACCGTCGACGGTGAATGCCTTCAGAGCACCAACCACCCCCGCTCCACTGAGCGCAGGAAGCAGGTTGAGCTTGAGCGCGCCGGCGTACCCCGCCTCTGCCAGCTCCACCGCAGCAAACGCGCTGAGCTTGAGTGCCGCGGGCCCGCTGACTCCGCGATGCGTCACCAGCAAAGGGCCACGCGAAGAGAGCGACGGCGAAGGCCCGCCTCCTCCACCGGTACGGCTGCGCCCCCCCCGGCCGCGCCCCCTTCCTTTGCCACCGCCCCTGCCTCCGCCTCCGCCTCCGCCGCCTCTGCCGCCGCCTCCTCCGCCGCCGCCGCTCTCCGACGCTTTCAGCTCGAGGGACAGCTCCACGTCGGGTACCGAGACGCCTGCGGAGCAGAGGCCGAGGCGGAGAGCAACGCTGTAGTACGCTGGGGCGGCACCGCGCAAGCACGAGCCGGGGGGGGGGGGGGGGGGGGCTTCTCTCTCGCGAGGAGTCGCAGGGCGGCGAGGCGCTACCCTTCGTACGCCCCATCTGATACTACCGGTCGTGGCACGAGCCTGTCTCCCACCCACTCGTTCGGCGCATCTCTCCCTCCGTCCGCCGCAACGAGGTGCTGCCCGAGCTGCCAATCTCGGTGCACAGCTGCGTGGCTCCTCCATTCTCGACCACCTCCCCACGCGTGTGCGCCGTGTCCTGCCTACCAGAGAAGCCTGCCTGCCAGCGTCGCGTCGAGCACGCCGCCCGCGCACAAGCGGAAGGAGAAGAGGGACGGGATGAGCGGCACGATCCGGTGTCCCAGGCCTGCAGCCAGCCCGTGCGCCGAGCTGCCCGTCGAGAGCAGCACCGCGCTGCAGCGCACCGCCGCCGTCTCGCCGCCGCTGGCGCTGGCGTACTTCAGCCCGAAGCGCGGCGGAGCTGCGCCGCTGTCGTGCGCCAGGTCGGACACCTTTGCGCGCGTCCGCAGAACGACGCCGGCCCGCTCGGCAGCGCCGAGCAACGCGTCGATGATGGTCGCCGAGTCGTCGGTGGTGGGGAAGGCGCGGCCGTCCGCCTCGACCTTCAGCTGCACACCCTCCGCCTCGAACCACGCCTGCGGGAGAGTCGGCCATCCGCTGCGTGTTGGTCTGCTCCTCTCGTGACTGTGCATGTGCATGTGCATGTGCATGTGCCTGCGTCTCCTCCGGCGAGAAGCGCGAGGCGAGAGACCCGAGCAGCTGGTCGGCGCCGCGGGGGTACCTTTGCGCGACTGCGTCTCGAGACGCCTGCCACGTCTGCGCGTCGTGCATTACGTTGCAGCGGCCGCCTCCGGAGATGCGCACCTTGCGCAACGGCTGGCTTCCGCCCTCCAGACAGAGCACGCTGGCGCCGGCACGCGCGGCCGCGATCGCGCCGAAGACACCCGCCGCGCCACCGCCAACGACCACGACGTCATACTGCTCGCTATCGGACATTCGTAGGCGGCAGTAGCGGCCGAGTGAGCGTGCGGTGGGGTTGATGGCGCTACGGTGAGCAAGCCGGACGGCGAGAGCGCTGACGGCAGCCGCTGGAGCTCTCCCGCGTGGTGCCAGCGAGGCGAGCAGCAGCAAGCGGCAGAGCATTATGCGGCAATCGTGGCGCTCAACAGTGGCGTGCTGCAGCCCGAAGGAGATCGGCCTGCTCCAGTGATGATGGTGCAACGGCGGCGCGTCTTCTCTGCTCGCCGAGTCACACAACCTGCACCGTGGCGATGGCGCTGGGAGGCTCCTCTTTCCGCGCCCCCCCCGCGATACACACTTTTCCGCGCCCCCCCCCCGCTAGGCGCGCGATACACAACCTAGCGAGTCACACACACACACACACACACACACACACACACACACACACACACACACACACACACACACACACACACACACACACACACACACACACACACACACACACACACACACACACACACACACACACACACACACACACACACACGGATGTTGGTCCTTACAAGAAACACGCTGCCGCCTCCAAGCCAATGGTGTCTAAGGGTCTCTGGCACTCCTGGATGCATGCACGGTCACAACGGAGTAGGTAGCAATGTTCGAAAGTGTCCGAGCGGTCCCGAGCCGTCCCGAGCCGTCCCGAGCCGTCCCGAGCCGTCCCGAGCCGTCCCGAGCAGCGAGCTGTCCCAACGGCCTAGATGCTAAAGTTCGACCGGGGCCGGAACCTGTCCCTCGAGAAACAACGGTTCAACAAGACGGTGCAGCACTACCGTGGGCGTGTGGAGCACCTCATTGGCCAGGTAGTGGACAACCGTATGAAAGCGCTCGACGAGGAGTGGGCAGCTGTTCGCGAAAGCCTAATAAGTGACACGCCGTCGCCCCAACACCTTGATCCTTCCTTGTCTGAGTTTGCCTGACCTTACTTAGGCTGAACAAGCTTTTCCTCTCGCTGCCCGTCTCATTTCCGGAAACGCAAAGACCAAAGTGCTGGGGCCCCTCCGTTTTCCTTTTTGTTTGCCGGAAAAGCTTGTGCAGGCCAAGACCTTACCTGTTACCTTTACCTTACTCACGTTACTTCTGCTTACGGCTAGGCCAAGAGTCCTCTCTCTCCCTCGCCATCCCACGATAGAAGACGGAGAGCTCGGCTCGGAGGTCGGCGGGTTGGTGGGGATCTTGTTTGATTTGGGACTATACCGAACATGGTGATAAAGTTATACAACAAAGCTCCCGCACGACACCGGGCACGGGACTGGCGCGCACTGGCACTAACACAGGTACACTGAAGTTAGAGCTCTAATGGAGCTCTATCAGACGTCTCTCTCCAGTCTCACAGTGGCGTCTCCGAGAGTTCCCACAGCCTGCACAGGAGATTAGTAACGTGTGTGGGTGGGGCGATCGGGAGTGGTGCACGTCTCACCCGGCCCTCACTATGGTCGTCCTCGTTCAATGAACGAGGACGGACTTTGTCGAGGCGTAAGGTGCCCGCATACCCGCGCCTGGTCGAGTCCGATGCGCGCCTCGCACTTGACGTTGTTATCGACCGACGTGCAGCGCCCCATCTTGCGATAGTTGAGCTTGGCCGGTGGGTTGTATGCGTGGGGGTTCCAGCTCGTGTTGCGGTAAAAGCGCGAGCCCGCCGGCGGCGGCGCGCTGGTGTAGTGGCCGCGCATGCACACATCGCCGCCCTCCGCCGCTCGCCTCACCGCCGCGCTCTTGCTCGTCTTTTGCACTGCGTCGCCCTGCGAGTGCAGCAACCCCAGTAGGCATGGCGAGTGGCAGCAGCCGACGCCGTAGAATGCGGTGTTGAAGTTAAGCTCTTCGGTAAAGATGTATTGGTCCCAGCCAGCGCGCGTCCGGTTCTCGGCTCTCCGCGCGAGCGCCGCCATCCTGTGGGTTGCTCGCATCCACATCAGCCCGATGTTCAGCATCTTGTTGGCCTGTGCAGGCCGTCAACTTGATCAGTGGAAGAGTGACGGTCAGGATGGGGGCGGGAGCCAGGGATCGGGAATGGGGCGGGGCTAGCTCAAGGACATGGGTCGGGGACAGGGCAAAGAGGGATGCGGCTTCCTTGCCGTCGTGGACGCCGACAACATCCACGCTCGTGTGGGAGTTGAGGGAGCGCACAAACGGCATCAGGTCGGCCTCGAGGAGATAGTTGGCGTCGAGCGACAGCAGCGACAGCCCCGCCTCCAGCACGCGCCGCAGCATCAGCATCTTGTGCAGGTGCGTCCGCCGCCAGCCGTAAAGAGAGTTCTGGTGGCCGCAAAACTCGGCCTCGGGGAGCAGCGGCGGATCCGGCGGCGGCAGGATGTGGAGCAGCCCCATGGTGCTGTTCCCTGCCGGCGCAGCCTTTGCAAGTGCCTGCTGCTGCTGGTGAAACTGCTCGATGTGCTCGATGTCATACGCCTGAGTCACGACGCAGCCAAAGCCAGAGTGGTGGCGCGCAGAGAGGGCGAGGCGAAGGAGCGAGTCGACGTACACGCCGGAGGCGACGGAGGCGATGACGGTGCGGTGCACCGAGCACTCTCGCATCGCGTGTGCGTGCACGGACTGACGCAGCTTGGCGGCGCTCGGCGCGCTCACAGAGGGCGCGATTCCCACAGCGGCGGCGTCCGAAGGCGGAGCCGCCCCCGGAGCGCCGCTCATTCTGTCAGCGAAAATAGGACTATTCTCGAAGCCCGTGCCGAGTCGGATGCCGCGGGCATAAAACTCGAGGTCCATCTCCGCCGCACCCTTGACGCGGACGGACGACGGCGCCTCTGCAGCGAACGCTAGTGCTGCGAGCGCCGGCAGAGAGGCAGGGCCGCCACCGTACCCGCCGCCCCTGCCACCGCCTCCACCCCCGCCGCCGGCGGGGCCGCCGCCGTATGGACCCGCTCGGAATAACCTGGGGGGTCCGGGACCGCCCCGCCGGAGGCTGGTGTATCCGGGCGGAGGAGATGGGGGAGGGGAGTTACCGCGGTACGATAGTGGGCCCACCGGCGAGCCGGAGGGCCGTGGCCGGAGGGCCCCGGAGGGGGCTTGGGGTCAGTTGTCGGAGGAGGCGAGAGATGAGCTGACGCGGCCTCTGAGAGTGGAGTCGGGACGTACGGGCTCACCAGGGGAAGGCCAGTCGCAGTGGCAACCGGACCACCACGACCTTCCACAGGGAGGGCCACGCCCCCCCGAGCCTGGAGAGGAGCCGGCGGAGGGGGGGGGCGAGCCGAGGACGATAGAGAGGCCGCGGGTGCGGGCGCGAGACAACCAGGGAGAGCGGGCTCGACCCCCCGGGGGTAGAACTGGTCGCGACCCAATGCCACCGTTCTCGCCCGGGGAGACCTCGACCGGGCCGTCGACGCCCTCGGAAGCGGTGGAGCCGGGAGAAGCTGGCGGAGATGAAGGGCGGCAGCGGAGGAAGCGACACCAACAACGAGGGAAACGACCATACCGGTCGTCGCATAACGCTGGGAGACGAGCAAGAGAGCGAATCAAGGAGGGTTGAGACCCTGGGAAGGCGAGGGGTGAGCCCTCAGGCGGGGGGGTCTACTCAGACGCCGACGCAAGTGAGTGTAGAGTGGTGGTGTGGGGCGTGCAGTATGGTGTTCATTAGCTCCGAGTAGAGGGGGCGTCCTGCAGTTAAGGGGAAACCCGGTACGCGGGGCTAACCCTCGGAGACCCGTGTTTACTTTAAGGCCCTTGCCCTGCGAACGCGCACCCCCGGGGCTAGGGCTCTCTTGCCCGCAACCCGATGCCAATCATCCGGCCCGCTGGGTGCGCTTCTGAGCTCCCCGGCCCTGGATGTGCGGTTGATGACTGCACTCCAAGTGCTCCAAGTGCACCTCTCTACTGTGAGATGGGTAAAAAGGAACAGGTCCCCGCCCTTGCGATCTTTGTGCAGGGTTCTTTGATGTGGGTGGTCGGCGACTAGCCCGGGGTCGTCCTCCCGATTAGCCGTCTTCCACAATCACCCCGTTTTTGCCCATTTTCGGCCATCCGTCAAAATATCTGAAGATTCCAATATAGGATTCTCCCCAAACCTTGCTCAGCTGATCCAGCCTGGGGGGAAGGCCAGCCCTGGGCAAAGAAACCAGTACCTCATCGGGCTTCCCTGAGCGTCACAGCTCGGTGATCGCGCCGGCCGGACACACCACTGTGACGTCCGTTCCGGGCATTTTGAACGCGACCTTCGGGGGCAAAGACATGGGCTCTATGGCTCAGACTGGACTCCTCTTGGTCCCTTCTGATGCCCTAGGCCATACCTGGGCCTTACCTGGGGTTCTAGGGGCCGGGCAGGGTTTGCCCCCCCT